ATATGTCATTTATATTTTATTTTTTTCTTTTATTTTACATCTAAAATCAACATCCATCTGATAACCGTCTCACCTCAAACCCAATTGGATTCTTCTTATTCTTTGAGAAATTTGACAGCTCTTCCCAGTGGCCAGCCTGTGAGTGAGCAAGGACTCTAGACCACCAATACCTGTGAAATAACAAACATTGACAAGTTTCAATATACCATCATAATATCAACTATATCCCTAATCACATGAATCCTTTAATAAAGAATTTTCTTAGTAACAATTTATTTATTTACTTTTAGTGAATAAAGTACAGTCCAGCAAAGGTATTTTATAAATAAAACCCAATATCCAAATCTTACTTACTAAACCCCACTACATTTCTATCATTCATACAAAGAAAAAAAATACATAAAAACTTTATTCTGCAATCTAATCTTAAAAATATACATACCTCCTTTCTGGTATCTTGAATTCAGTTTTCAACTTCTCTGCTTCTTTAATTTGTCCATCGATTAACAGCTGATGCAGAGTATCGTAGAGGGATTTGTTAACGTAAGGCTTATGTTGACCATCTTCTAGTCTCACCTATGGAAATAGGATAGCAGATGTTACATTGCTGGTTTGATGATCTGTGATAAGACTGTTCTCATCTTAAAAGAAACTCATACCACTCTCTAAAATTAAACTCGTAAGTATGACAAAACCATTAAGAAATGGAATAGCAGAAAACACATGAATTTCACTTGCATGCTCATACCTTTAAAGTTTTGCTAGGGAATAAGTCAGCAAAATATAAACACAAAATACAGAAAATGTATACAGAGCCTGAATCATCTTTTCTTTTACTCACTAATATACTAATAGGATCATATGTGACCCCACTCTCACTAGTCAANCTACTCAATTTAATAATATATCAATTTATTATAAATTATATACACACATAATTGATTTTACACATAAATATATCATCATTATCTCATTTATTTTACTGAAAATTGAAAAAATATTGTATTTATATATTATCACTTTTCATCTTCATTATTATTGTTGTTGTTTTTATGGATTTTTTTTAGTCTTCTATGTCAGTATAAATGACGGAGAGAGACAGGAAAAAGAGAGAGACAATAGGGTTAGAAGAATGGCGAGGAGAGGTAATATACAATAGAAGGATTGGGTAACAGGAGGAGATAGTTATATTATTAATATATTATATTATTATTATTATAAATTTTATATAAATATTTATTATTTGAGTAGTAGTATAGTTAGTTAGTGGAAGTAGTAGTGTAGTAGTAAGTAGAGATAGTATTATTTAGTAAATTAATATTATTATTCATTTATTTTATCTTATTATTTATTATGTATTATTAATTATTTATTATTCATTATTATCTAGTTAGTAGTTTAGTAGTAGTAGTAGTATTAAACGTTTATGGACTGATTTTTTTACGCATGAGTGATCCAGTGCCATAACTTAGATTCCAGGAAATTTTGGTGGTAATTCGGACCATTATCCGGATCCAGAAATTGCAAATGCTACTTAAAAAACTATGAACAGATTTTTGAGAAATTAGCATTAGCATTATTATTGTTGTTGTTATTATTATCGCTATTATTGTTATCATTATTTCTATTATTATCATTATTGTCATGACTATTATTGATATTGTTGTTATTGATATCATTATCATTACTAGTATTATTTTTATCATTTTTATCATTGTTATTGTTTTATAATTATATTATTATGATGCATCATTTTCTATTACTGTTACTTCTACTCTTACTATTATTATTATCGTTATCATTACTTTTATTGCAATTATCATTACTATTATCATTACCATTTTATTTTTATTACTATCATTATCATTACCATTATTATCACTATCATTATCATTACCATTATCAATGTTAGCATTATAGTTATTATTGTTAGTATTATTACTATTATCAATATATTACTATACTATTATTAATCAATTTATCATTATTGTTATTACCATTTATCATCATCATCACTATCATTATGTTTATTTCTATTAATCAATCTATTATATTATTACTCCTATTTACATTTTTGTTCTTATTGCATTAGTAGTAATAGTATCATTGTTATTACCACTATAATTATTATTAATGATGATAATAGTATCATTATCCTTGTTATTATTACTGCTATTATCATTATCATCATTATTATTGTTATTGTCGCTGTTACTTATGTCTTCATTATTATGCTGTTATTTTCATCTTATTATTATTATTATCATTATCATTATATCATTATTATTATTATTAACACTTATTGTATTATTGTCATATTAATGTTATCATTCATCATTATTATTATTGCTTTATGAACGACTATTATCATCATTATTCTTTTATCATCATTATTACTATTATCATAGTTATCATCATCATCATCACCATCCATATAATTATTATTATCCTTGATAATATTATAATCATTATTATATTATCATTATAATCATAATCATTATTATTATTAGGATAATCATTACCATCATTACTATTATTACTGTTACTTCTACTTTTATTCATTAATGTTACGTCACTATCATCATCGTTGCTATCACCATAATCATTATCATCATCATCATTTTGTTATCGATATTATATCATTACTATTATCATCATTATTATCATTATCATTATTATCATTATCAGTATCACTATCATCAGTACTATTAGTATCATTATTAATATCATTATTATTATCAATACTGGTACTATCATTATCATTATCATTACTATCATTAGGATTATATTTTATCATTATGATTATTACTACCCTTATTATTGTTATTATTCTTATCCTTATTACTTCTATTACTTTTGTTATTATCATTATATTATAATTAATAATAGTAGTAGTAGTAGTATAATAATCTATTATCATTAGTGTTGTTGTTTTTGTCATTATCATTATCATTATCATCATCATTATTGCTTTTTTCATTATCATTATTATCATTACCATTATCCTTATCATTGTCATTATCATTATTATTACTATTATTGCCATTACTATTATCATCATTATCATCATTATCGTTATCATCAATATCATTATCATTATTATTCCATTGCTATCCTCTGCATTATCATTATTGTGTACATTACTAATGCTAATAGTATTGTTTATTATCATTATCATTATAATTATTACTATTATAATAATTATTATTATTATAATTATTATTACTACTACTACTATTAGTATTATCTTCATTATCATCCTTATTACTGTCATTATTTTCGTCATTAGTAAAATTCTGTTATCATCATCAATTTTTATTATCATTCATATTATCATTATTAGCATTAGTACTGGTGAAGATACTATCATCAATATCCTTTTAATTATTTTTGTTATTATCATCATTATTATTATTATAATTATCATTATCATCACCATTATCTTCATTATCATAATTTCACCATTATTTTCATTTTCATTGTTATCATTATCATTATTATCAATATCATTATTATCATTGTTATTATCATTATTATTTTTACTATTACTATCATCATGATCATCATTACGAGTATTGTCATCAGCAATGATATTCCTTTTATTACTATTGCTATTTCTATTATCATTAATCATTGTCATCTTTATTATTATTTTCTTATTTTCATTGTCTTTATAATCGCTATTAGTATTACTATTATTTTCATTATCATAATTATTAATATTATCATCACTATTATCATGATTATTGATATTTTTGCTGTCATTATTATCACTGTTACTATTGAACTAATAGTAATATAAATTTTATCCTTACTGCCACAATCATCATTATATCATAATTTGAATTTCGTAGATTATTATTAAATATTACGCATGCAATCATATTTATTACCTGTTGAAATTGGACTTGAAACCAATCAATTTTGATGTAAAATGGGTAATAACTGACAGCATAAACACAAAAGATAACGCTCACACAAACCCCCTCCCCCCCCCCCCTGCCCCACACACACGCGCGAGCATGTTACGAATCTGTGAGAATTTCTATGCTAATTGTTATCATTATCATTGTTGCTTTTACCATTATCATTGCAACAATTACTTGTCATTGTCATTATCATTATGATAGTTTTATTTCGAAGCAAGTACACTGTTTTGCAGTAGTTAGACCATTTGTTTCTGCACATTTGTTTTTTACCCATTAGCCGAGGGGGTGGAGGCATAGAAGGTAGGAAGGGAAGGGGGCAGGAAAGGAGGGGAGGGAAGGGAGCTTACAAAGGAATGGGAGAGAGAGGGAAGGGGATGAGAGAGCGAAGGCGAGGGAGATGAAGGAGAAGGAAGAAAGTGGAAGGGGACAGAATGAGGGCTTAAAGCGGGAGGGAATGAATGAGTTTAAGGAAGATTTAGGAGTGAGAAGAGGTGGCAGAGCGAGGAAGGGAAAGGCAGAGGGAGAGGGAAAGGAAACGGGAAAGGGAGGTGAAAAGTAGGATGAAAGAGAGAGGATTAAATCTTTTCCGTAGAACTTCCATGGGTCCTGCAAGTAATTACTGTAGCGAGGCGCAGACGCAGTAGACTTAAATATGTCTGGTTGAGTTCGGGCTCAACCGAGAATATGGAATTTCATTTAGGGAAAGATCCGTCTGCAGTGAACAGATGTAAGGTTCCAGGCCTACGACACGCTGCCACCACCCGAGTAGTAGGTGTGATGTGTATGTGGGCGTGAATATTGTGTAGGAGGGTGAACGGAAAATACAGCGTCCATGCTAATTGCTGAGTGTTGGATGTGTGTGTAAATGTAAAAAAGGGAAATAGCGTAGGCTGAGCGTCTGCATGGACGTGTTTGGAAGAAAAATGCAAAATCATAGAATTCTTCTTCCCTTCGGTTTGAGCATCCGCCTGCTAGAAGCGGGAACCCAGGTGTAGCAATACTTATAGTATTTTTAGTATGTTATGTTTGCCATAGATTGTAAGGGATCAGCTTGAATATACTCTGATTCATCTATCCTTTTGACAGCCTTTCAAGGGTTGTGAGATATCAAAGTAACAAGCAAAATGCTGTTTAGAAGACACGAGTCTGAGAGAAGTTGAGTTGTTTTAGCACACAACCTTAATCTTCTTGCTTGGAATGAGTAAAAATACAGAAAATGGTAAGAGGTTTATTGAGGAACAAGTTGCAGTCACAAGGAATTTCTACGTGTTGTCAGTCATAGAAATATAAAGATGCCTACATTACCAGTTTATCACAATGGAAGTGATACACACGGAAAACCAACACCAGATAAACAAAATAACATAAAGGTACCTCTAAAATGGCATCCCATCATCAAGGTCAGCACGAAAATATACAAATTCTCAAGATAAGGAAGTTAATCTCCAACCCAAATGGATATCAGCTTGGGCCAAAAAGTAAAATAAACAACACAAAATGAATATGAAACTAACAGTGCTGACAAGCTCTTAGTGAAGACACCTGCATAAACACACGTAAACGTACATTATTTAAAGGACGGAGATCCCGACAAGTCTTTATAGACTAAAATCTCTCTCCCAGGAGGTACGGATCCCTAAGGGAGGAAAGTGTTAACTTAAATATGACAGAGCGAGCAACACTGGAGATGCCGATGCTCAAGCAGTGTTTCTCAAGGTGACTTGGATCTAATAACAATTTTTGACAGCTCTGGAGGTATGGATCTTCGAGCAGTGTATTACGTAACTTAGTCCCTTAGAAATAATAAAAATAGTAAAACTGGAGGTACGTATCCCCAAGTTTTCTTTGAGACTAGGTTATAATGAAAATTGATGGCAACACTACAGGAGCAATGCTCGCCCGTGTGTAATGGTAACGCTTGAGGTACGGATCCTCAAGCAGTGCTCCCTAAAGTAACATGGTTCTATGGAGATTTATCGCAACAGTGAAGGTACGGATCCTCAAAGAAGTGTTTTACGTGACATGCTCCTTAATAATAATAACACTAGAGGTATGGATCTTTAAGCAGTGTTTTTCCTATGGGTCTTGGTCCTTCTAAGATCTCTAGCACTTTGGAAGAATTACTGAGTACTGCTTTGGGACCTTACCAAGGAGAATGCACCCTGCAGATGGCAATGCAGCATGTCACTCGCCCGTCAAAGAGAGACCAGTAGTCACATACACACAACCATAAGAACTTGACTTGTGAAGAGACACAAACTCAGCAGTTTTGGTGCGAAGCGAGGTAAATCCGTGTGAGAGCACACACACAAAACGAGATTCCAACTGTGAAGGACCAACCAGATACGAAGTCAGGATCGAGGTCCGGACCGCAGTCAGAGACCGTCAGTATCCACGTCAAGCTCCAAGTGAGTTTCCTTCCCCCAACCACGGGTACTTATACCCCGAAAGAGACCCCCAGGCCATGCCGGCGCGAAGAGAAGAAAACATGCAAATGAAGTACCTGAAGACCAAGCCGATAGTTCGACAATCGAAACGGCCCAAACAACCAAGAAAACAGAGGAAGAGAAAAACAAAACAAAAACTATGTAACGACCATCACTTCCTTCGGTGATTATCATGACACTTTGGAGACGTCACCAAGGAGAAAGAATAATAGAAAAAGGTAAATTGGGAAGAGGATACGGAGAAAACCCAATAATAGATAGTTGTAGCAAAAAGTGTGCATTTTGGCCTTAACATGATTACAATAATTCAGAAAATAAATATTTATTTGTATAAAACATTAAAACACCTGCGGGACTTAGTTGCAGGTGGCAAAAAAAGACTAAACCACACGTGGCGCACGGCAGGGACTTGGCAGCGTCACACGAGGTTTATGAAGGTGAAATCACCCTTACAGCAGATGCGTGTGCAGCTGTACACTACAATTGTCACTAATGTTACTAGCGTTATTCTTATTATCATTGTTATCTTTGATATTATTATCATTATCGATATCGTTATCATCATTTTTCATATTAGTATTATTATCATCCTTATCACTATCATTATTTTATCATTATTTTCATCAATATCATTATCATTATTAGCGCCGTTTTTTTCTATTATCATTGTTATCATTACTATCATAATTATGTAATAATGATAGTAATAATAATAATCACTATTATTATTGTCATTACCACCCTTATCATTATTGATATGATCATTATCATTATCATCATTTTTGTTATTATCGCTACTATTATCGTTATGATTTATATTATTGTTATCATTATCACCATGATTATTGTTATGATTATTATCATCATCATCATTATCATCATCGTCATCATCATTATTATCATTATTGCTATCATCATCTTAATTACTGTTATCATTATCATTATAATCAAGATCATTATCATTGTTACTTTTCTCATCATTGTCGTCGTTGTTGTTTTTCATCATTATTATCACAATCATTATTATCATTATCATTATCACTATTAGCAATATTATTTCCATTAATATTATTATTACTATGATTGTAATCATTATTATTATTATTATCGCTTTTATTATTATT